AGCGTGTCTTCTTTTACCTGTCCTCCGAGAGAAAGAGATTAGTCTGAAAAGCAGACCGACATTTATTTTCGTGGGCTGTCTGCAAGAAGATCGTTATCTCTCCCCCCCCCCCCCCCAACAAAGCCAAACAAAATAATACCGACAAATTTAACACAATACATTCAGCCCTTTTGCAGGCAGCCTAAGATTTATCATTATTTATCTGTTGTTGGAAGGTGCAGCGTGCCTCCCCATAGTTAATACTTTGAATCAGTTCCATTTAAATTGGAAGAAAAAAAGGGAGAGAGAAACAAATACTGAAATAATAAATGGCCACATAAAATTGTTTCTAGTAACCCGTCTCTCCCCCGTCTATTTTTTGTTACCAACTTTTTATTTCGTTATCTGATATATTTAACTGACACAAAATAAAGAAAGTACCTTAGGTAATTCAGTGAGTAAAAGAAAAAATATAATAACAGAATTTCAACTTGTGTTGCGCCTATAATGTATGGGGAAAATGATTTTTTTTATGTGCTGGAAATTAGGATTTTCTATTGCGAATTCTACACCAGGTAAATGGATTCTCTCTTCTTCACTTTCAAAAAGAAAAAAAATCACAACGAGATACTAGGAATGAATTTTAATTTGCCTTTCATTTATTTGCCATGTCATCTATCGTAATATATATATTATATCGAACCTTCTTCTATTATAGAGTATAATGACTAAATTGACCATCATGACCATGAGCAATAAAACAAAGACCGGAAATATATAACGGACTGTCTGTGGGCTCTGGCCTAAAAGAACAGCAAATCGGTAAGCTGGCGATTTTTTGTTTATTTTACTGGTGAGTCAAATAAAAGAGATGTTTATAGGGTAGCAGCAGGCTTAGATGAAATGTTCAATATCCTATTTTAAGATTCAAAGTGTTTTTAAGTCTGATCCTTCTAGCCTATAGGTTAAAATTACCAATGACAGGGTGCGCATTTTGATTGCAGATAGCCAGGCAATTATTTTTGCATTCGATCTATAAACTAATTCACCGTAGAGTTTTAATGGAAGGCACTCGTTTTTCCGTTGAATTTTCATAATTCCCAAAATACTTAATTCCCAATATTAATAATTCCTTAAGTCTTATACGAATATCCCATGCCAAAAGGGTTCAGTTCCGAAAATGAAGTAGGAGTTTTATTATGACGGTTCGTAATTACAAACAAAAACGACACAGGGTTCTATCTGTGTCATTTTCGGAATTATAAACCCCATATAATTTTGGAATTGTGAACCCTATTTCATTTTCGGAAAATACGAACCTTGATAATTATGAACCTTCGAAAAAACGACATTTCGGAATTACGAACATTAGGAAATACGAACCTTTGGATTTATGAACCTTCGTTGTAACCGTTTCAATGGATCAAATATAACGGAACGATGCATAACCATTTTCATGATAGTACAGTAAATCATCATAATAGCAGAAGCGTAACCATAGTAACAACAAACGCGTGAGCTAGTGCACTTCCTCTTCCCATGTGTCGCCATCATAAACAATTTATTTTTCTCAGGTGACTTCCGATGAGCTTTTCTCTATGATAGTACTTTTGAAGTAGGGCATACATCACATAATCTTTAAGTGATGTAATATTCCATTTTATGTACCCTATACACAATTTACTAACATCACAACATCTAAAATTCATTACTCTTTCAGCCTTTACCCCCCCCCCT